AGTCCATGATGAAGAGCAGTCACAAGCAGCCTAGTGCCAATAGGACATGTTTGCTCTTGTGATGGTGGAACCGCAATGCGAAAATAGTCCCCGTCTTGGACCTCAATGAGTGCCGCACTTCGTTCGGACAAAATTTGTTGGTTGCGCCAGCAAATGCATTGATTGTGGGGCTCTCGACAACATTGTCCAAGTCCAAGAGAATGAAGAAGAGTGCTTCTGCCAATATAGTGTGGCAACTTGTACACCTTTCTCACAATCTCTGGCTGCCGGAGCGGCTGCACTGCATGAAACTCAACGTCGGTGAGGACCAATCGCAATGTGGAACCTGGTGTGATATCTCCATGCCTGTGAGCAATGATTGCTTCAACATTTGCACGTGCTAAATCTTCAGGTCGATGCCGGACATGGTGGGTATCATAGAGGTGATGTCTGGAGATGTGCAAAGCATCTGAAACCAAATCATGATATGCCTCATAATCATTCCAGTTCAGTCTCAAAGGAACTTCTTGGAAGTTGAGCGCATAGAGAAGCGTGGAGTGCCAGTCAGTGCCCTCCATTTGTTGCTCCATCTCTGAATCAGTTGTTTCAGACCTCTCAGTGTCTCCTTGCTCATCTTGTAGATGTTGGTGCGGATCATCTTCAAGCGCTGGATCAAATGCAACGTCATGGTCATCTGTAAGCCTCTGTGGACCTTCTTGGTCTCCAAAAAGGCGACGATCTTCACGTCGAGGAGGCACTGCCATGAGGTTGATTTCATCCGAAATCATGTGGTGATGCGGCTGCAAAATGAAAGTATTCGAAATTGTTTGGGAAAGTGCCTTGGGCCATCTTTGCATGTAGAAGTCATCCTCTGCACCCACATAGAGTTCAACTTTCTCTGCAAAAGAGATGCGCCCCTGCACCTGCTTGGACTTCTTGTTGGAAAAGTCTCGATCTTGATGTGTACCACACATTGGATTGAGTTCATATTGTAAGTCCAAGGCCATGAGGGATGCCTTCCATTCCGTGGTGAAGTTCTCTTCCTCCAAAATGGAGTGTTGCCACTGCATGACAGTCGTGTGCTGTCCTGTCATCTGCCCTAGACAAACCTCCTCGTGTAGGTCTATTTGTCGGGCCCACCAAAAGGCTGCATGGCACCAGAGCCATGCGCCTGTTCTACTCTTGCCTTTTTGTTGGCTTGCTCGTCCTCCTCGTCTGCGCTCGGTCTGACTCTGCCGCTCTCTAGCGTAGTCAGCATCGATGCAATGCCATTCTGGATCTCTTCCGCCGACGCCAACTTTTCTGGGACGTCCTCCTCCATGTCGTCTGAGATCTCCTCCGTTTCCAGGACTTCTGCATCCTTCTTGTCGAGGGCTGCTTTGGCTGCATCGTGCTTCTCCTTTGCCTCGAGCATGGCTTCTTTGACCTCTGTCACTTTCTGCTCCAGTGAGTGGTCTTTCTTGGCAAAGTCTTCCGCAAAGGTTTTCCATCTCTTGATGGATTCGTCCAGGTAATTGTTCCAGGACTTGTGGAGGTTGGATCGAGCTCTTTGGGCGGCCATCAATTGCTTTCGTTTCTGTTCCAAAGCATTGAAGGCCTGTCTGACTGATTTGGCCGTGGCTGGTGGTTGTTTCGTTTTGTCCACCACCTTCTGTACTTCTGCAGACAGAGGGTTCTCTGATGTCTCCAGAGCCGCAAGGAGCTCGTTCAGCTGTTGCTCTGCCTGGGTGTTGGATGCAGTCGGTGGCGATGGCTGCACTGGTGTCGCTGCTGCACTGGTCCAAGGCGGATCCAGTGTAGGAGCTCCATATTGTGCCTGCTTCTTTTTGCCACGCGGCGTGCTTCCCTTGGGTCTCGGCGACTGGGTGACCTTTCTGGTCCTGGTGGTCTGCTTGGGTGTAGACTCTTCCCACGTCGATTCTGTCCAATCTTGATTTTGCTGTCTCCTCCTGGGACTCTTCGCTTGTTTCGTCCCATGCACATAGTGAATGTCTACACAGTGTTCCCAACCTGTGTAACACGCTCCACATGATGCAGCATGGTGTTTGTTGAGGCGCTTGCACCAAACGCAGCGCCAAGGAGCCTTTGCTTGTCCTGACATTGCTAACCTGAGCCGTCGAAGAAAGCTGGGGTCTCTCGAATGATGTTGGCAGAGGCAATCGTGAATGGATGCTAGTTGAACCTTGGTCAAACTTTGCAAACCACGACGATGTAGATACCACCGGTGCCGAGCAAGTGCTCGTGCACGGCGATCCCGCCGCCTTTTTGCAGGCGTAATTCTCAATGCCAAAGAAGATCACGAAGACAAACACAATCAAGAAGTGCATGTACTAGTCAAATTCGATCGGGATCGTGGCAATGTTAAACAGGACAAGGTCAAACTGTTTAATGAAGTGCACAGGAAAGCCCGAAAACGAAGATGATGTTCACTTGACCTATGAAAGAGGTGAATACCGGTCGGTCAATCCGGCAGCGCATGTTGCGATGGTGTGAAGGCACAAGGCAGCAGCAGCACCAAAGCAAGAGAAGGCCAAAGACTTTTCAAACTTTTTTATATGTGTCTGGTGGTTTCAAACTTTTTTTATTTTCCATAATATATGGGATAATCCTTCCCATTGACTAATATTTTTCAGAGGGGTTGAAACCACCAACCAGATATTATATATATATATGTTTATTTTTAACCATGTCCAATCATACCCAGGATGACGATGCCAACCGACTTACTGTATGTTTGGGGTACCGCTGGAACCAGAGATGTTTGGTGAGTTTTGTTGGTCAATTTTAGGACAGAAAAGTCATGGCATCACAAATTTAAGTGTTTTTGTTGGATATACCCTCTGGAAAACCATAAGAAAATGGTGATTTAATAAGGTCTTATGGTGGTTTAATGGAATTTAATGGGATTTACCCTCTGGTAAACTAACATAACTATGGAAAATCCACCATTTTTAATGGGTAAATCCACTATAAGTGGCCATTTTCAATAGCTATGTTAAATTACCAGATAGTAAGTAGGATTTTCCTGTTCGACCTTTTTGGGTCGCTATGTATTGTACCCTCTGGTAAACTAACAGTTTGCTACTGAAAATGGCCCAGTCGAAATAGTGGATTTACCCATTAAAAATGGTGATATTCTGATATTCCATAGTATTTTATAAACGTTTACGAAACAAAAACACCCTTTCCGTCAGTTCCAGGTATCAATCGATGGTCTCTCGGTGGCAACTGCGAACTGGGAAATCCAGCATTTTCAGAGGTAAATCCCACGATTTCTATCACCATTTTCAATAGCAAACTGTTAGTCATTACCAGAGGGTAAGCCATCGATAATTGTATTATTATAATATATATATACATGTGATATTTTTTTTAGTGATAAACAAAAAAGATTCACCCCAACTTGGCATGGTATGTCATGGTCCATCCCCCCAAAACTAGCCTCTGGTTATGACATTCACAGTTTGCCATGGTTATTAAGATGGCCCATAGAAATAGATGGTTTACCTGGGTTTAGCGAACTTAGAAATGGTGGATTTTTCCATGGCAAACTGCAACAAATATATAACCAGATGGTATTTTAGTTTATTTCAGTTGACTGCAAAATATCGAGATGGGTTATGACCCTTTATGACCTATACAACTGGGCTATCATATGGACTAATATGGTTACATATAACTGGGCTCCCTGAGCGTGATACAACGGGGGCCCATTGTGCAAAATGGTGAAGATACAGTGGTCAACCCTTCGAAAGAGTGATCTGCATCCAATTGAAGTGGCACTTCCCCTTCGGAATGCTAACGGGTCAAGAACAAAGTGTATTGAATTATTTAACTACAATGTGATATAATATAGTATAATATAGCATAATATAATATAATGTAATTATAATTATAGTCTAATTTTAACACAAATATAACATCAAAATAATATAATGTAATATAATGTCATGCAATATAATATAATATAATATAATATAATATAAACCAATATAATTCAATATTATACAGTATACTATAATAGAAATTGTTTGAATATGATATGATATAGTATAATATAGTTACAACATAAATAGTTATAATATAGTAAACATATAGCTATTCTAACATATAATATAACACAATTTAACATAATGTAATATAATATAGTACAATATAATTTAATATAAAACATTCCTATATATATATATCTATACATATTTAATTATAAAACATGTATAATATATAATAATATATTTAATAATATATAAAATAATATATTTAATCATATATATAATAATATATATAATAATATATATAATAATATATATATAATAATAATATATATAATAATATATATAATAATATATATAATAATATATATAATAATATATATAATAATATATATAATAATATATAATAATATATATATATAATAATATATATAATAATATATATAATAATATATATAATAATATATATAATAATATATATAATAATATATATATAATAATATACAAAATATAATATATATAATATAACATAGTAAAATATATATAATATAACATAGTATACTATATTTAATATTATATATAATATAATAAATATATATATAATATTATATATATAATTTATAATAAATATATAATACAATAGATATATAATATAATATATGATATATATATATATAATACATATAGTATAATATATATATACATAACATATAACATAATATATTATGTTATTACATTATATTATTTAATAACATGTATTCTTTTCATGTCATACAATACAAGCTATGTTTTACAGTTTTAAACAAATTAATACAATATAATGTCATATAATATTATATAACATAATACAGTATATACTGTATATTTGCAGTGTATACATATATAGATATGTGTGTGTGCGCGTTATTTCATGCTTACATGTATCTGTATGTATATATATATATGTACGCATGTATTCAGATGTTAGTATTCTATAAATATCTTATAGCACGCATGGTAGATTCGTCCAAACTCACCCAGGTGGGTCAAATGCCCAATGCCCTGACCAACGGGTCTGGCAATTCCGATCCGTGGGATGAAGCCGAAATGAACGACCCTCTCGTATTTTTTCACGGTTTGCTATTGAACATGCCCCATGTAGAAATCGTTGATTTAGCTATTCAAAATGGTGATCTTCTATAGTTATGTTAGTGTACCAGAGGGTATCACTCGCCTTTTTTTTGTTGGGAATCGCTTGGTGATTGTATTTGTATTGACAAAACATTATTGTTGGTTGCATCCTGTTGTGAATCTTCGATATTCGTGTTTGTATATTTTTGTTGGGTTCAGCTTGTCAACGCTGGTATCAGCAACATGTCTGTCAAATCCTCAACATCTCCAAATTCCCAAAATTCCATGAAGGGACAATCGGAAAGCACCATTTTTATCATTTTTCGTGGTGTTTTTGACCAGTTCCAACAATGAAACCCGGGTCTTCAGATGTTCCCCAGTTCCCAAGTTCCCAATCCATCCCATGACTCCAGCCGAGGAAAAGAGGTCACATGAGGGACAGGCCGAAGTGATCCTCCATGTCCCCATTACCTACGACAACTCGATCACGTTGCTTGGCCGGCCGTCTCCGGTGGATGTTGGGAGGTAATTCTTGGGTGATGTTGGGTGTATTCGTGTAAATATTTATGTATGTAAATGTATATATATATAGTTTTTTGTTGGTATAGAATATATATTAGAATATTTGCAAAGATATTCCAGTTTAAGTGAATGTGGTCGTCGCATGTTGCAGCCCACTTTGAGGCTTCAAAACAAGTACCTTTGGCGTACCTCAGAAGGTGGTACCGCATTAATAGTGGAGGTGGTCATATGGTCATACCACCATCCATATGGAATAACATGGCCAAATGACCAAAAGACCATAAATGGTCAACATTTGGGTTGCGGCGCTTGCGGACCATATTCCAAATACCATGTCCTGAGCATGGCACTTCTGATTGATTTTTCTGGATTCCTGATAACCATGATGGACCTGATTTTGATGAGGACTTCGAACTAGTTTAACCCGAGCAATCCTCTTGTTGACCGAATAGACATCCAAGCGCCGAGAAAACTTAACCCGTGGGTTCAGGGGTTCAACCTGTTTTCAGCCTGGGGAGGTTTACTCCGGAGTTGCCTCTTGGCTGAAATTTGGTGAGAGGAGTCTGATGAGTATTTCTATGCATGGTAAAGTTGACCCACATAGCAGGCCTAATTACACCATATGACACCATGATATAGGATTTTCCATGTCGAGGAATGCGAGTATGAGCCCACATTGATGAAGACGGGCATTGCTCGCCAAGCTTTCAAACCCCAAATGCACTCAACTAGCCTGGAGTAACGGCATGCAGTAGTGAGCATGCGCATGCCGTGAGTTCCATAACATGAAGAGCGGGAAATCATGTTACCCTCTGCCATGACAAGGGAAAATTGCCAATTTCAAGAGGTTTTGTAAAATGAAGCCTGTGTATGTTTTAATTGCTATGTTAGATTACAAGGGGGTCAAATGTACATGAGTCAATACATAAACCTGTTGCGAACCAGAACTACAAAGGGCTGATTAGATGATCAACAAGGAGGGTTGTTATGTTGTGTCTAGTCCTTGTTGGCCATGTCCAAACCTATAAGATTCGCGTGCCTAGACAGTGAATTTTAGTTCTTAGTAAGGTTCCCAACTTAAGCTGGTTCTCGATTGCCGACCTGCAACCCACCCCATCCAAGATAATTATGTTGTTTGCCAACGCTGGAGCGGGAACACAAAAGTCGAAACCTGGGCGTGTCCAAATTTTCGCTAGTGTTGGTTCCAATTGTGTTTCCTGTCACTTTACTAAACTTGAGATCATTCTGATCATCTCGCCTAACTTTACACTCTCATTCAGTGGGTGAACCCTTCGAACAAGTTTGTTGTAATGGAATTGTTTTGGTTCTGTAAATCTGGACAAAATTGATCACGACCTCATGTTGCAACGTCAAACTGCCCTGTGGGCCCTGTGGTTTGGCAGGAAACAGATGTTGGACAACGTGAAGGACAAGTGGAGACGTTGGGGTCGAGCTGGTTAGCTATTGTTAGTTATGGTTAGTTCACTTTTGTTGACACGCGTTGACATATCTGATATACGCAGTTTTGTTCAAACAAAATCTTTTTTTCTGTGTCCGTAGCTTCTTTCAAATGCTTGTTTCAGTCCTATCAAGCAATGCCCACATTTATGGTTGAGAAAACATGTTTTAACAAGTGGTTGAATAACGAATGGGGGTTACAATCCAGTATGGAAAGGAACCCCTTTCTAACCAATCGCTTACTCTGAGACAAACAACATGGGGGTCGCTCAAATACACGGTCGCCTGAACTCAGAAACCAACCAAGCGATCAAATATCTCAGTGGAGTCAATATACATAGATATGAGATGATTTGGGTATAGTATGTTATAGTACCCCCAACATCCCCCAACAAGATCCAAAAACACAGTTTCACGTTGTCTTAGTCGGAGTTGAGACATTGTTTTTTGGGGGAAAAGCGCCAAAAAGTTGTGTGACCTCAGACGATGGTTCGCCTATCCTTGAGCAATCGGGACAAGCTCACGTGCCGGGATGCGATGAAAATCCCATCAAAATCGGGGTGGTTCCTAATGGCTGCCCACTGTATGGTTTCATCAAAATCTTCGGATGATTTGGGGGGTAGGCCACCGAACAGGCCAATTCGTTCGAAACGGAATCGTTCGAAGAAGCGGTAGAAACATGTACTCACAGTATAATATGTTTCCCATATGAGTGGGCCAAAATAGGGGATACCAGAAATTGCAATCCTAATATGAAAATGATCAACGGCAAGCACTTTAACACATGTCCTTTTATCCTGCCCCCTGTCTTTTGTTGCAGTTTAGGGGTACCTGTTTTGGTTGTTTAGCCCTTTTGGAACTCATATTAGTGCCATGGTCAAACAATGGATTCTATCCCATTAGTGGAGGATGGGCATTAATCCATGATAGGGATTTATATTGCCATTATCAATATGAATTATAAAGATTCCCATTCTGGGATGGATGACTATCTCACATTCAGAAAAACCCTCTGGTGACGTGTCACGGTTTGCGAACTGTAAAATCACCATCGTTTTTAATCGGTATACGTCATGGCACATATCCCCAAACTATCCCTACAGGATGGGGCCCCAATGTTATATAGCTAAGTTGGTTTATAACTATAATAACAATAGTGTATGATACTTATAATAACTTATAATATTTAGATGGGGTTATAAACCAACTTATAACTGGGGGGCCCCATCCTGTACCTTTTTGCAGCTCCAGGAGCAAAGCCGACTCTGGGCGTAGCCCTCTCGTGCTGACGCGCCGTTGGATAGCGGAAAAAACGGTTGGGGGCCAGAGTGGCTTTCACCAATCTACATACCTTTATATCTTGCCAATATACGTCATTAGTATATACATCCAATATGCCTATTTATAAGAATATACTATGTATGCCACTAATTCATACATCATACCTGGATGCCAGGACAAGTCTCACCAGTCGACGTGGCCGGCACGAGCGTTAAAACGAGTCGCAATGCGAGTGACGGATTGGGGTGCAGCACATGGCAGATCCACCAATGGTCTCTTAAAATGGTACCTGTAAACCAAAACTGGTTGGTGGTTTCAAACATTTTTTATTTTCCATTTCATATACGGGACAATCCTTCCCATTGACTTTCATATTTTTCGGAGGGGTAGGTATACCACCAACCAGCAAAAAAATGGCTTGAATGGCGGTTCTTCAGCAACCAATTTGGATGGCTTAACCAGTGATTTTTCATCACATCAGTACTTCAGCTACTGGGCTTGTTCTGAAAGTTGGAGATCGATTGTGTAACCTGGATTTATCGTCAGATTTTAAACGTCCTGGAAATTGATGCAATGGGGAAATCTCGGGTAGTCTCTCATTGTTCAGAATTCTTTCTGGATGCGCTTTTTAATAGGACAATGGCCATGTTGTTTTATCGTTTTTCTTGCTATGATTTGGGGGTTTCCTAAAATGGGGGTACCCCAATAGCTGGATGGTTTATACGGGAAAATGTGAAATTAAAAGGATGATGGCTGGGGGGTACCTCTATTTCAGGAAACCTCCATGTATTAATTTCCTCTCTTGATGTAGTTCGCTTAAACCAGGTTTTCTTCCCCTCCGGTAATCAGCTCCATGGGTCCATTGGAAAATCCTCCATTTGGTTCGTTAATTTGAGCCAATTACAAATCATGGCTTGCTGAAAAATCACCAATTTAATCCCATTTATATAAGTTGTATAAGTGTATATATATATATATGTGTATATATATATGTGTATATATATAGATAAATACTCAAGATATACACGATTTTCCCATAGAAACCTCAATGGCTAGTTCGTGGAATGATGTTTGCCTGCAGCTGATGTGATTCTGCTCTTTGGAGTGCCCCCCAATCATCATGAGTTGCTAAATAACCCCATCTAACTATAGATGTATCTAGCATAATTCCTAGGCGTATGAGTGAAATCCAACCAAAAAGTCAATGGAATCCAACATCCATTCACATCCATTAAATCAACACTAAATTCTGATCAACTCCACAAAAATCCTTTAACATCCACAGGATGCTGCCCCCAAACGTGATGTGAATGTTGGTTTAGTTTCACGCCATGAATACTAGTTTGTTGTACCTACCTATTCAACCATAGTTCATTCAGCCACTTAGTTTGGCAGCTGAACGCTATCGAACGGGGGTCCCATCCTGTATTATCATACTGGTGTTATATGGTTTTATAATGAAATTATTCATGATGTTATACTGATGGTGTATTATCATTATTAATGGTGTGTATTAATGGTGTTAATTGTGTTATCTTATTATTATTATTATTAATGGTGTCATCCTGTATTACTAAAACTCCCCAATTCAGGAGTTATTATTTTTTATGAATACAGGAGTTTTAGCATGATTGTCCATACAGAATGACACCATTCATGGTGTTTATCATGGCTTAGCCCGGATGGTTTGTTTAATGATACTCTCTGGTAAACCAACATAACTATGGAAAATCACTATTTTCAATGGGTAAATCAACTATATAGCCATGTTTAATAGCTATGTTTGTTTACCAGAGGGTAAATCCCATTAAATTCCATTAAACCACCATAAACCCTCATTAAATCACAATTTTCCTATTGTTTTCCTATGGTTTACCAGAGGTAAGCCATGATTGTCCACTCCTCCGCCGGCGAACCGCGAACCGCGAACCGCGAACTCCCGAGGCTCCGCAGCTTGACGCTGCTGGCGTGTGGAGCGGGGCTCCTGCTGCGTGGCGAATGATCGAAAGCGGCTGAAAGACATAGGGAAATTGAGGATTTAACTATGGACATATGGTGATTTATGGAGAAATCTATTTTGTGATTTATGGTGACTTATGGTGAAATCTATTTGGTGATTTATGGTGACTTATGGTGAAATCTATGGTGATTTATGGTGATTTGTGGTGAAATCTATGGCTTGAAATAAGGGAAATTGATGATTTATGGCGATTTATGGTGATTTGTTTACATGGTTTTAATGATGATTAATGGTAAAATTACATAAATTAACCAGTGATTTATGGTGATTTAATAGGATTGAATGGGATATAACTAACCCACACTCCAGGATTTGGGCGTGTCTTAAAATGGGGTATACCGGTATACCCATCAAATGGACATGTTTTTCATGGGAACAATGATAGGACACCAGAGGATTCAGTGTAGCCTGTTTTCAAACACATGTTAAATAGGGAAATTGTGGATTTAACTATGGAAATTGAACATATAACTCTAGACTTTGAGGATTTGACTATGATACTATGCAATTTTGAAATTTTAAGTCTGGACATTGAGGATTTAACTACGGAAATTGAGGATTAATGTGGTAAAGCCAATGCCATAAACCTACCATTAAGGTATGAATTGTACCACGCATTTACAGTGATATTGTTGGGTATGGTTTACTACTGGGTTTACCACCTTATATATATATATAGCCATCCCCAAAAAGATAGAACCGTGTGCCCAGGAGGTTATAGAAATATTTGACACATATTTCCAAGTTCCCACTTTTCTATCCATTATGGGGTTGCTCTTTACATACATACATGCATGCATACAGACATTCAGACATACAGACAGGCAGACATACAGGCAGACAGACAGACATTCAGACAGACAGACATACAGACATACAGGCAGACAGGCATACAGACACATAGACATACATATAGATTTATATTTATTTATATTGATATTTAATTATATTTACATATATACATACACGTCTAGATATGTATATCTATTTATACATGCATACGTATATACATATACATATATATACACATGTATATATACAGCAACTCCAAACAGATAGAACACATATTTTGTATAGCTCAGTACTATCTAAGCATTTACTATATATATATATATACACACGATGTTTAATATTAATACTGATGGCGATGCCTATTAATATCTGGAGAAGTTAAATGTTTTCCTACGGTCATCAAACGTTGCAAATGGACATTTCTATGGTTTTAATGGTGGTTTTAATGGGAAAATGATCACCAGAATGGCGGGTTTTCTATTGCTATGTTTGATCACCGGAGGGTTTTCCATATCTACATAGTCATCCCCAGAAAAAGTTTGTTGCTGCTATTATATGATGTTGTATAATATTTTATATATACATTCATTTATGTACATTATCGATGTACTGGTTATTAGAACTACATGCATACACGTATTTAAATGTCAATAATAACAATCATGCTATATACAGAGTATAGTATATAGATATTGTAGAATTAATATATATATATATATATATATATATATGTGTTATGTATAGTAATTACATGTGTGTATTAGATTTGGATTCATCTATGCATATACTATGACTATTTATAATCATGTGTATATATATATATATGCGTATATATATATATATGGAGAATTGCAAATCAGCTTGAACATAGAAGGGCATCAAATATTGGCCATGCACTCATATGATTAAATAATGTATTCATTCTTACTAGCTACGCACACGCAAACAAACACACTCGCACAGCCAGACTATTATGATCTATTGTGGGGTAACTCGCCATTTCTGTGCTAAATCCTTATTTTAAGCCTTCTTTCTTTGCCAGAGTTCTCAAGCTTTGTAGATTGTATCCTTGTTGTGGCTCGTAAAAAAAGCGATTCTTTTGCAGGTTGCATCCAAGTTTCCTTTGTCACACCCAAGTCTTTTGCTGGTTTGTTACTTTCTCCTTTTCCTCTTAGTATGTGTTCTTTGCTACTTGTAGTTGACGGTTTGCTGACTGAAGTCCAAAATTGTAGTTGGTGCATTTCCACATGTTTGTGTCGATTTGAGATCAAAATCCATGTCTTGGTTTTCTTAGTTGTAAGTAGCAACCACCAAAAAAAGATAGGACATCAACACCCTCCTGTAATAGTTGTATCTAACAATTCTCTTCTATCTTTCAATGGATTGGTTGAAGGGAACATCTACACCGGAAACCATAGATTTGTCCATTAAAGATGGGGCTTTCCTGTAAATTTTCCCTTAAACCAATCCATTGAATAAATCAGCGAACATCTAACATAGCTATTGAAACTTGCCATTTATAATTAGTTGATTTACCTACTAAAAACAGTGGTTTTCCATAGCTATGTTAAATTAGCAGAGTGTATACATTGTTACATTTCTCATGTTTAGCCAGCGGCCCCATGCCGCAAAGGCTTCTACTCGCCGGCCACTTTGCCAAGGTGCCGAAAGTGGGGATGTTCACCCTGTTTATACTGGGGAGAGTGTTTTAACATGTATTAACTCATACAAATCCATAGGGATTTCAATAATTTTTTTTAAAAAAAAACATGGATCTGTAGTTTTAATTTAAGCAATTGATGATCCCCTTTTCCCTGGTTTTTCTGTCGTAGATACATGTAAACAATAAATACCCCCTTGGCAATCCTGGTTTGATATCGGATCTATTCCTTTTTGGTCCCGTACCGGGCGTATGCATTTCGTGGGTGTTACCTTCGCACATGGGGGTATAATTTTCACGGTGCAGAACAGATATGCGCGGTGATATTTTTGGGATGTTGAAACCCTGGGACATGTTTGAGAGGAAAAATGCCACTATATTGCATGGAGGTTTCCTGAATGGGGATACCCCAAATCACCCAAGTCATTAAATCATTTAGAAATATTAGCATTGAAACCCTTGGCTCTGGGGATCCCCTGTCTTAAGAAACCCCCGTATATAACGCAAAACAATGATTTCGATTGAGAAGTAAATTGACATTTTACAAGCACCACTTGTTGTTTTCTTTCTGATCTGCCATTCTATAACCCCTCGCTCAGAGAGGATTGTAATTATAAAAGGCAATTTCTTTTATAATGCCGATACCCAACTGTATACCCAACCTAAAGGTAGAATCTTGATCTATAATATACTACTGTATAATACTGTATATATATATATATGTACAACTGCATTCTTCTGCATAGTCGTATACATATATACATATATACATATATACACATATACACATATACATATATACATATATACATATATATATATATGTGTATATATATATACATACATGTTTGCATTTATACATATCTACATATACGTGCATGTATATATGTTTGTATAAATGTTGTGATACACATACACATGTAGACATAGATCAATATATATATAATGATATGTATATATATATTGATGTGTATATATATATATATATATGCGAATACACGATGCATAAATACACGTCCGTGGATGCCTCGCCCAGGCAGCCTTTGTGGCCGGTTCCTTGCGCGAGGCGGGGATCTGATATGTGACCTAAGTAGTGACCGAGTAGTGACCAATGTGAATCAATGAGATGGATCAATTCATCAACATGGTCGAGTAGTCCCAGTGTTGAATATCGCTTGGTGATTAAAGCATGTTAACTACCCTCTGGTAATTTAACATAGACCCTGTAAATCACCAATTTTTAATGGAAACTAGTCTTCCAACCCCTATCTGCCAAGGATTGCCAGGGTCTATGTGAATTTACTGTAGGGTAACCATCCTTCTTGATTTTTGCTTGAGCATTCTTTTTCTTGGGTACCACTCGCCTTGAGAGAACTCCAAAAAGATGCCCCAATACCAATACGATCAAGACGTCAGTGGACGCCGATACTGTGCTTCTTTCAATACATATCTGGTTGGTGGTTTGGAACATGATTTTTTTTGACTTTCCATATAATGGGAATAATCATCCCAACTCACTTATATTTTTCAGAGGGGTAGGTCAACCACCAACCAGAAATAAATTGGTTCATTGTTCATTGTTTCTAAATGGTACCCCCCGATAATCTAACACAACAACGGAAAATACTCAGTTCTATGAGGTAGAAGTCAATGCAAATCAATGTTTCCAATGCCATGACCGATTACCAGATTGTACAAAATTTCCATAAAACAATATCAATAACATGTAGATTATAATTGCCACTCAATTTAGTAGATATCTACTGTACCATATAGATTTTAAATCCCATTAAATTTAGTAGATATCTGCCATAGAGATTTTAAATCCCATTAAATTTAGTAGATACCTGCCATAGAGATTTTAAATCCCATTAAATTTAGTAGATATCTACCATATAGACTTTAATTCCACTTAAATTTAGTAGATATCTACCATATAGACTTTAATTCCACTTAAATTTAGTAGATATCTACCATATAGACTTTAATTCCACTTAAATTTAGTAGATATCTACCATATAGACTTTAATTCCACTTAAATTTAGTAGATATCTACCATATAGAGTTTAACCCATTAAATTTAGTAGAGATCTACCATATAGTTTTAAATCCCATAAATACGTAGATATCTCGATTAGAGATTTTGAAATCCCATTAAAATTTAGTAGATATTTACATATGAGATTTTAATTCCTTAAATTTAGTAGATATCTACCATTATAGGATTATCCATTAAATTAGAGGATATCTACATATTAGATTTTAATTGTACCTTAAATTTAGTAAATCTACCATATTATCAGGATTGTTAAATCCCATTAAAATTTAGTAGATATCTACCCTCAGAGATTTTTAAGTTCCGACACTTTAAATTTAGTAGATATTTCTACCGGATCTAGATTTTAATTCAACTTAAAAAATTTAGTAGATATCTTACCATATAGATTTAGAATCCCATTAAATTTAGTAGGATATCTACCATTATATGAGATTTAATAAATGCCTCAGTGTTAAATTTTAGTAGATATCTTACCATATAGAATTTATATAATCCCATTAAATTAAATTTAGTAGAGAGATATCTAGCCATAGGAGATTTTTAATGTTCCACTTAAATTAGTAATATCTAAGCCGATCTAGATTTTAAGAATCCCATTAAAATTAGTAGTTGGGGATCTACCGATATAGATTTTAATTCCACTTAAATTAGGAGATATCTACCATATAGATTTTAATTCACTTAAATTTAGGTAGATATCTACCCTATAGATTTAATTCCCATGAAATTAGTAGAGTAGATCATCTCCAGAGAGATTGTGAATTGCCACTTAAGGCATTCAGTAGATATCGACCATATTAGATTTAAATCCCATTAAATTAGTAGGATATCTACCATTGTGATAGATTTTAAATCCCATTAAATTTAGTAGATATCTACCATATAGATTTTAAATCCCATTAAATTTAGTAGATATCTACCATATAGATTTTAATTCCACTTAAATTTAGTAGATATCTACCATATAGATTTTAAATCCCATTAAAATTAGTAGGTATCTACCATATAGATTTTAATTCCACTTAAATTTAGTAGATATCTACCATATAGATTTTAATTCCACTTAAATTTAGTAGATATCTACCATATAGATTTTAATTCCCATTAAATTTAGTAGATATCTACCATATAGATTTTAATTCCACTTAAATTTAGTAGATATCTACCATATAGATTTTAAATCCCATTAAATTTAGTAGATATCTACCATATAGATTTTAAATCCCATTAAATTTAGTAGATATCTACCATATAAATTTTAATTCCACTTAAATTTAGTAGATATCTACCATATAGATTTTAAATCCCATTAAATTTAGTAGATATCTACCATATAGATTTTAAATCCCATTAAATTTAGTAGATATCTACCATATAGACTTTAATTCCACTTAAATTTAGTAGATATCTACCATATAGACTTTAATTCCACTTAAATTTAGTAGATATCTACCATATAGACTTTAATTCCACTTAAATTTAGTAGATATCTACCATATAGATTCTAAATCCCATTAAATTTAGTAGATATCTACCATATAGATTTTAAATTCCATTAAATTTAGTAGATATCTACCATATAGATTTTAAATCCCATTAAATTTAGTAGATATCTACCATATAGATTTTAATTCCACTTAAATTTAGTAGATATCTACCATATAGATTTTAAATCCACTTAAATTTAGTAGATATCTACCATATAGATTTTAATTCCACTTAAATTTAGTAGATATCTACCATATAGATTTTAAATCCACTTAAATTTAGTAGATATCTACCATATAGACTTTAATTCCACTTAAATTTAGTAGATATCTACCATATAGATTTTAAATCCCATTAAATTTAGTAGATATCTACCATATAGATTTTAATTCCACTTAAATTTTGTAGATATCTACCATATAGATTTTAAATCCCATTAAATTTAGTAGATATCTACCATATAGATTTTAAATCCCATTAAATTTAGTAGATATCTACCATATAGATTTTAATTCCACTTAAATTTAGTAGATATCTACCATATAGATTTTAATTCCACTTAAATTTAGTAGATATCTACCATATAGATTCTAAATCCCATTAAATTTAGTAGATATCTACCATATAGATTTTAAATTCCATTAAATTTAGTAGATATCTACCATATAGATTTTAAATCCCATTAAATTTAGTAGATATCTACCATATAGATTTTAATTCCACTTAAATTTAGTAGATATCTACCATATAGATTTTAAATCCACTTAAATTTAGTAGATATCTACCATATAGATTTTAATTCCACTTAAATTTAGTAGATATCTACCATATAGATTTTAAATCCACTTAAATTTAGTAGAATTTTTTTTTCTACCAATTTATAGACTTTAATTCCAGCTTAAATTTAGTAGATATCACAGCATATAGATTTAACCCATTAAAGTAGTAATATCTACCATATAGAATTTTTATATTCACTTTCAATTTAGTAGAATATCTACATATAGATTTCAAATCCCATTAAATTTATAGATATCTACCATATAGATTTAAACTCCTTAAAATTTAGAGATATTCTGGTACCTAAGATTTTTTAATTCCACTAAATTAATGGTAGTTATCTTACCTAGAGATTTTAAATCCCATAAATTTAGTATATACTACCATATAGATTTTAAATTCCATTCTGTTAAATTTAGTAGATATCTACCATATAGATTGTAAATCCATTAAATTATGTAGGATTATTATACCTATATAATTTTAAATTCCATTTAATAGTAGATATCTACCAATAGATTTTAAATCTCCATTTTATGATTTAGTAGATATTACCATATAGATTTAAATCCATTTAAATTGCGTAGATATCTTACCAATATAGATTAATCCCATTAGCTTGAGTAGAACTCTACCATTATAGATTTAAATCCCATTAAATGTAGTAGATATTCTACCATATAATTGTTTAAATCCCATTAAATTTAGTAGATATCTACCATATAGATTTTAAATCCCATTAAATTTAGTAGATATCTACCCATATAGATTTTAAATCCCACTTAAATTTAGTAGATATCTACCATATAGATTTTAAATCCCATTAAATTTAGTAGATATCTACCATATAGATTTTAAATCCCATTAAATTTAGTAGATATCTACCATATAGATTTTAAATTCCATTAAATTCAGTAGATATCTACCATATAGATTTTAAATCCCATTAAATTTAGTAGATATCTACCATATAGATTTTAAATCCCATTAAATTTAGTAGATATCTACCATATAGATTTTAAATCCCATTAAATTTAGTAGATATCTACCATATAGATTTTAATTCCACTTAAATTTAGTAGATATCTACCATATAGATTTTAAATCCCATTAAATGTAGTAGATATCCCATTAAATTTAGTAGATATCTACCATATAGACTTCAAATCCCATTAAATTTAGTAGATATCCCCTATGTCACCGCACCTTCCCCAATTTTCCCTGTCACCCGCCAGGGCCGAGTCCTCTCCGTGGACCGTGCGGTGTCGCACGGCGGCTATGCGCATGTAGGGGACCCAGATTCACCCGATGTTGCTATATCAATATCTATTTTTTTAACAATGATGTGTAGATATGTATGAATTATTGCTAGGAATGTTTTATATATTATATAGATATATTATATATATATATTATATATTATATATATATCTTATATATATATATTATATATTTATTGGCAAAATAATCATATATATATAATGAAAGTATATGATATGTATATGATATGTAAAATGGCATGTAATTATATGATATGTATATGACGTGTATATGGTATGTATATATTTTTGATAATGATATGTATCTGGGCAAATTATAACGACCCCAGGTATCAATTGGTTATAAAACGACCTCACAGCGATAGATGGTATAATATCTGGTTATAATTGTCGTTATATACCAAAGTATCTGTATCTGGGCAAATTTAACGACCTCACTGTTCTCCCGAACCCTGGAATCATTGTTAATAAGGGAAATCATCCCCTTTTATTGCCGCAAGATTCAGGTTAGTGAAATAATTATTATAATTTACCAAGATGTATGTATATATATATGATAGATGATGTCATACATGTAACAATATTATACACATCATATATCTGTATACAGCTATATACAGTCAGCACATATATTTATATATACTATAAAGATGTAGCGAGTGGAGCATGCAACCTGTGAGTCATGGTTCCTGGAAGCGGCTTACCCTGACCTCAAGGGCGGAAAAGTGTACTTTTGCATCCCCTTACCCTCTGCTAATCGAAGCTTGCTGGGAAAGTCCCCTCCAAGGTGAAGATGTGTGAAATGCATGGGGAATACACAGATCGAACGACCCTCTGTGAATGCAGTCTTTGAATGTGAAAACAGACCTCAATGAGAAGCCATGGAATTTTAACTATGGATTTTCCAGTAATTTTGACATAACTACCGGAGATCATCATTACGTAAATCAGTAAATCATGACTTAAATCATCTATAAATGGTCGAGGTATTTTACTGCTATGTTAGTTGTTATTTGAGGGTAAAACTGGTCTCCGAAACCCTTTGTTCCCAGGATTTGATGACCGGATAGGTGGGCTATCCCCCAATGCCCCACATGATCAGTTATATTTGATCATGATTATCAGGTATATAAATTGTATATCCCAGAACATATCCCAGAACATATCCCATTATGATCGTATATTTGATGAATGGTAACGATCATATACAATGATAATCATATATATTTATCCCAGAACATATTTGATGAATACTAAATGATACATATGAATATGTTATTGATCATTATTATCCGGTTGGATATCAAATGATGTATCATATATAATTGGTGTATCATATGATGTATCATCAATATATAATTGGATTACAATCATATGATATAATGTATATCCGGTCATATCCCATTACATGATATGATGTCTATGAATCACAACGACCTCATCATGAGGTCACTGGAATGGTGAACGGTTCAGGAGAATCATACGAAATCATGGACGCGTGATGTTTTTTTGTTAACCGGTAATATTTCAGTTTAGTGAATTGTGAAAACATACATATTATATACATATATGTAATAATATGTAATTACCATATATAGTTATTTACATATATATATATATCCCATTTTGCCATGATATCCAGTCACCCCCTGTTTGGGGGGCTGAGTGCGGGGTTGTCTCTTTGGAACTTTGGCAATCATGTTTAATTCCCAGTTACCAGTAGTACCGCACAAGGCGGTGGCGGAAGTTTCAAGAATAGGAAACCTATAGGAGAGATTGGTTGTTGTGAATCACGGATGGCAGAGCGAATCCACTCATGGACCGACAGGAGGTTGGAGTTGTGTTTTTTGGAGTGGTTGCAATGGTTGCAGTGGTCACCTCACCACAATTGCTGGATGTAGTGTGGTGTAGTGCAGTTGTAGTTGTAGTGTAGTGTAGTGTTGTGTACTGTAGTGTGGTATAGTGTAGTGTAGTCTAGTGTAGTGTAGTGTAAAGTAGTGTAGTTGTAGTTGTAGTGTAGTGCAGCGCAATTGGTGTAGTGCAGTGTAGTGTAATGTAGTGGTAGTTGTAGTTGCAGTTGTAGTCGTAGCATAATGCAATGTAATCAGTGTTGTGTAGTGCAGTGTAATGTAGTGGAGTTGTAATTGTAGTTGTAGCTATGGTGGTGGTGGTAATAGTGGTAGTAGTGGTAGTAATGGGAGGAGGAGTAGGAGTAGGAGTAGGAGTAAGAGTAGGAGTCGGAGTAGGAGTAGTAGGAGTAGGAGTAGTAGGAGTAGGAGTAGTAGGAGTAGTAGTAGTAGTTGTTGTTGTTGTTGTTGTTGGTCTAGATGTAGTTGTAGATGTAGATGTAGTTGTAGTGTAACTGGTGTAGTGTAAATAGATGTAATTAGTGTCGTCTACCATCCATCCATCCATCGATCTATCTATCTTTCTATCGATCTATCTATCTACCTGTCTATCTGCAAGCTTGAAAACGCAGCAATTCTGCGAGACATCTTCAGTTTTTGAACTTGACAACATCAAAAACGCAGCAATTCTGCGAGACTTCCTCAATTTTTGAACTTGACAACGTCAAAACTCAGCTATTCTGCGAGACTTCCTTCAAAAATCGAAAGTTGAGTGCAGAGCTGAAGGCCTCGTACCAATGCGTTTTGTTGCGATTTTTCCATCCATCTGTCTAAAGTATTGCGCCTGCCACGAAAAAGTGATGCCAAGTCATACGAAGTGCTGCACCTGTCACACAAAATCGCCTTCCCAAAACTGCTCCAAAATGCAACCCTTGTCAGGAAATCTCCGCCCTGACCTCCGAACATCTCTGATGAACATGTCTCGTGTATTGCGCCTGCCACGCGAAATGCATCTTTACGGATCCCCTTCAAATGTCCCACGCCTGCCATGGTTTTTGGAAATGCTACAAAACCCTCAGATTTTGCTCACTTTTGACAAGGTGCACAATCCCTTGCGCCGGCCACGGGAAACGACATCTGAACGTCCAAAAGTGCTCCGTAAGTTTTCTGCACTTTTGACTTCGACATGCGCTTCGCGCAACAACGACGTGCACTTTTTCGACGTGTCAACTTCCAAAAAGATGAGGTGTTTTGTACAGTTTGACTTGGAAATGTGCTTCGCGCCACAACGGCCTACACTTTTTCAACATCTCAACTTCCAAAAGTGGTCTGGGACCGTCAGTCTTTAACACTTTTGACTTCAAAATGTGCTTCGCGCCACAACGGCAGGCACTTTTTCGACATCTCCATTCCAAAGAGTGCTCCGAAGCTGACGTGTTTTGTACCTTTTGACTTCGAAATGTGCTTCGCGCCACATTGGCGTGCAATTTTTCATCTCTCCTCTGGCCAGATGGCTCCGCACCCCGCTTACTTTTCGACCCTCCGTTGGAAAAACACAGTGAATCGCGACTTTTCTACCTTTTCGTGCACCTGCATCTTGTTTCTTCTGACTGTTTCTCTTGACTCTTTCTCTTCTCTGATCTTTCTCTCTTCTCTGACTCTTCCCACCTCTGCTTTTCCATCTGTCCACATTGTCGGAAGCTTGACTTCTAAACTTCCTTCGTTAATTATGTAATCATTTTTGTCTGGTATATTCCATTCCATCCGATGGTTTGACACATTATAATCATTAATATTACCATGATACAAGGTATATTCCACTAATAATTGTCGATCATTACATGAGCCATGACACATGGGATACCTGATATATCATTATATCCCAAAATTATTGGCCGGGATATCCCACTATATCCCAGTAATTATATCAGACAGTGATTCATTTTATATCAGGCATATCCCCATATATTTTATTCTTGTCATATTGTCATGGTCAACGTTGGTTAGACACTTTTGTACTTCAATCTTTCGCTATCAATTGTAAAATGTACTCGGCCAACTAACAGTTGCATTTTCTGGGAGGTCTAAGATTCACCGTGTTCCATCCCCATGTTTCATGTCTTGTGTCTCTCCCAGACGTGTCTGCCAGGCGAAATTCCGCAAGGAGGTTAGGCAGATGAACGAGGAGGAGCTGCACGACATCATCGCTGAGTCGTGCCTTGGTGGCGTTTTGTCCGTTTTTTTCAAATATGTTGAGGTGTTACTATAGTAAATGCATATGTATATATATACTATATTTATAATATATATATATCTATATCTAATATATATTATATATAATATTTATATATATATATACAATATATATAATATACATAATATATATATAATATTTATATATATATATATATAATATATATAATCTATATATATATATAATCTATATATTATATATTTAATATACATAATATATATATATAATATAATATATATATATAATATTATATATATTATATTATACACATTGTTTGTTTGTCTTCGTAGATGCCCTATGTGTTCATGTTGCATGTGTATAAATGGATGTATGAAAATTCAAATGCACATAATGCATTCTGTTTACACATGGTCACATGTATTTGTGTATATGGCAATGTATGATGCCTATCAAACCAATGGAAATTGTGATTTATCCTACGTGGTCATTCAACGAATATGGTGGGGATTTGATCAGAAATGGAGATTTGATTGTGTGTTGCAGCAAGGGAATCATCAGGGTCCTTCAATGTGAGGCCCCCCAGTTATAAGTTGGTTTATAAGCCCCAGTAACTATAGTTATAAGTTATAAGTACCATAAACCATAGTTATTGGAGTTATGTTCACCAACTTAGCTATCTTGGGCCTCACATTGTTGGGCCTCACATTGTTGTATTGGAATCCCAATGTTTTTCTTGCTGTGACATGTTCCTTCCTGAGACCAACTATGAACTATCAAGAACTCTAGCTAAGCCAGGGGTCATCACTCTAAGCCAGCTGCTGTTGCACAGCTTGTCTGCAACGTTCCAACTTTGCGGGTCGCATCCTTAATTTAAGTCCTTGTGGACTCCAGCTTACTAAATTTGATTTGCTTAAATTCATCCGCGGTCCAAAACACATCGGAAAAATCAGAGGGTGATGAAAACCGACTCACTACCAAGCTAAGGGTGGGACCCACTACCCAAAACATGATTTTTTTAATCATTTTCCACCCTTCAAAATAAAACCGCTGAAGCATTACATCAACCAGAAACGCGTCCCGACCTTGCTGTTCCAGCTCTCCTGTCACGCTAACTCGCACGGCCTTTGGCTTCATTCTCCAACAATTATTGAACAAATGGCCATAGAAAGTTAATTTACCCATTAAAAATTGTGATGTTCCATAGTTTTTTGTATGTTTGCCAGAGGGTAACATTATCAGACTTATAAACTGTTTGACTCGCAATGTTGAGCAACATTATCCCGCTTTGAATTGCCACAACATATTGGATATATTGGGGTGTCCCCAGTATCCCATGAATCAAAGGATTCGCTGGCGGTTTGGGTCATTTGGATGTCAAATCCAAAACCCAGAATTGGACGGGGCTTAAAATTTACAGCAAACTGATTCATTGATACAAAAAAAATCACATCTGGTTGGTGGTTTGGAACAGTTTTTATTTTTCCATATATTGGGAATAATCATCCCAACTGACGAACTCATATTTTTCAGAGGGGTAGGTATACCACCAACCAGACCTGATATGCATCCATATATCCATGATATCCTCAAAACCATTGAAAAAAAGGTAGAGTTTCCATGAGTTGCCCGGAAAATGATGGTTTCCTGAAATGGAGGTACTCCCAGCCATCATCCAGCTATTTGTCGGATTTTCCATGAAATAAACCATCCAGCTATTGGAGTTTCCCCATACCATTGAAATTGGATCATTACATAGCATGGAGTTTTCCATTGTAATAGTTTCCCTAGAAAAACATGTAGAGTTTTTTCTATGTTTCACTACGTTTCCATCCATTGAATCCTCGTGTTCCTCAGCGGCAGCACGGCATGAAACGGCCGTTTCAACGGGCCGTTTCTAAGGCGTAAGATGATGCTGCACCATCGCCTGGAGGTGCGTGGCAGGATACACCTGGTGTCTCTCCCAAAATGGGATATATGATATAATATAAAAAAAACTATACAATATATATATATATATGTATATATATATATAGTATATCATGAAAATATTATATATATATATATATTAAATAATATTGATAATATATTATATATACTATACAATGTATATATATATATTATATAAACTAATTTGTATACAAATATTTTATGTTATATATTTAATATTTAATATTTAATATATAATATATAATATATAATATTTAATATATAATATATAATATATAATATAATATATAATATATATAATATATAATATATAATTTATAATATTTATATAAATATCATATAATATAATATAGATATAATATAATATTTATATTTAATTTAATTTATATAATATATATATATTATATATAATATATATATATTATAATATAATATATATATATAGCATATATACCCTTTAGTAGATTACCATGGGAGTCTTAGTGGCTGTTGCCTGCTGCGAACAGTTTTTCTTCCGCTTGAAACCTCACCAGATATTACGTCGATCGAAATTTTGTCTAGACCCTGCCAGATAAGGGGTTGGAAGAATAGTTTCCAAATAATCCCACTAAAGATTGGCTATTTTCAGGGTCTATGTGAATTTACCAGATGGTATGTATATACATACATAATCATACATATATATTTATATACAGTAAAAATTGATATATCAAAAATGAGACATACCGATACGCCGAATTTAATCGCACATGTAGTTGTAGAGATGTGAATAAAGCATTGTTTACCCTAGGGTAAGCTAAGGTAGATGTGGAACACCCGCGGTTTCCCGTTCGACGAATAATCTACGAATGGTTGGTTTTCCACATCCTGGTGCATGTCACAGGAGGGTATAATATCCATATAATATCAATAATGTAATAGTTACTTAACGTATTCCTTAGATCAAACTAGTACATCGATGTATAGCAAAATACCATGATATCAAATAATATGCAGTTAGTTTACCATGGTTTACCTTACTTCGAGGCAAAGCTGGCTTGTGAGACTTGGATGAATGTTGAAACCCTCGCACAGAAACCTGGATGGAAAGGCTGGAATACATACGTGATAAGATGTTCTTCAACATATTGTTATTGTGGAATATTGTATGATACTAAAAAGTATTTAAGATCTCATATATGAGCTTGATATAGTACATATATATATATATATTCATATACATACACATCACATTCCCATATTTCGGTGTCCTTTCTTCAAACGCTTGCCCCGGCTTTCCAATCGCTGCAGAAATTCCGGAAAAAGAGACCCTCAGCTGGCTCCAAGTATGAGTGGCAGTACAAGATTGTCCTTCCTGCCTGTTTCGGTTAACGAGGGTTGGCGGGTTGGCAGTAGGTCGGAATCGCTAGGTTGGTGCACATAACTCCTACAACTTGGGTTACGCTAGATATATCTATGCTCTCCAGGGGGGTTATAAAATGTTATAAATCAACTTATAACAGTGGGCACCACGTTATGAATCTACGTTTCTATGTGTTGCAGTCTTCAACACTTGAGCATTTGGGGGTGTTACCAAAAATGGGGAGATGACGATTAACATCTAAGATTAATCATCTTTAAGGTCATGCTACGCCAGGATTCATGTTAACCCAAATCTAATGTTCTCTTGGGGCGGGTACCAAGTTGAATAGTCATAGTAGTTAATGGACATAGACTAAACCAAATATTTATAGGTTGTAATCCCCGAAGTTTCATGTGCGAGTTTGGCGAAAAAGATGCCCCATTTTGATCCTTGAGGATCACCAAAAAAGATGGCTAGTTTCGCATCACTGCGGCTGCGAAATCACCAGTTGGTAGATGGTTTCTCCCATAACAAGGCCCTAGCAGGGGGCCATTGTTTGCAGTGCTTTGTCATACCCATATGCTCCATGTCTGGTGGAAAAAATCATACATGGAGCATATGGGATAGTTACCAATAGTTCCCAATATTTCCCAAGTGGTTTCAGGAATTCTTCTGTCCACTGTTTTCAGTGAAGGTAGCCATTCAGGGTGGTGCCCCCCCGTTATGTTTGTTGCTTCAAAAAGGTCGCATGAATACTAGATTTATATCAGTTATATCTACATATACCCTCTGGTAATTTGTTACATAGCTATTGAAAATTGTTCATTAACAGTTGATTTACCTATTTCCAAATGGTGATTTTCCAGTTCGCTTTTTGTATGTTTACCAGAGGGTATCTACCATAAACATCCATGAACCACAGTTCATTCAGCCACTTTTTTCGGCAACGCTGTCAGGGACGATCCCAATTGACCCCCAGCAGTTCTTGTAGGTTCTCATCCCTATTGTTTGTTGTCTATGTCCAATGATACATACATATATATATATTAATTTACTTATATGTTATATATGTATAAATTAATTGTAGTATGTGTTATATACAGATTAATTATGTTACATATATATATATATTTGTTAATGATATTATATATACAATAGTATTTGTATTATATTGTATATATATATATATGTATCAAACAAAACATACTGTACTATTATATTATACATGTTAATATATATATATTGATGTTGTTCATGTAAATCAATATCATATATACTAGTTTTAAATACATTATATATATATATAAACTGTAATATAATATATATATATATATCCAGCACAAGAAGTAGATTCCAATACTACCACCGTTCGATAGTCGCAATGGTATTATTTTGAAACCAAGAAGTAGGCAATGGGCGGCTCACCAATCAGTCTCTCTCTCTCTCTCTCACCGAATTGTATTTTGGGCATAGTTTCATAGTGATGATAAATTATCATATGAACTTCAGAAGTAGCATTGCACATTGTTGATGCTTAGCCTCAATTCATATGTTTTTCCTTTGCCTTATCCACCAGTCACTCATGATTGACGACAGGTCTCTTGATCCACCATTATGTCAGTTGGGCCCCATGAACCACCATATCATTCGTGGGTACTGTAGATGATATGTTATGTTGTTTCCAAATGCACTTTATTTGATTACCATCCTCGTAATATTCCACATCACATCAACCCTAAATTCCCACGGGGCTTATCTATTTGTCTGTCTGTCTGTCTCTCTGTCTTTCTGTATGTTTGTCCGTCTGTCTATCTATCTATCTGATTGTTTGTCTGTCCCTCTATCGATCTATCTATCTGTCTATCTAGCTTGGATATTATGCGGATAGCATGTAAAACACACAGAGAGTTCACACACACACAGACACACTATGCATACGCAACATGTCATGATCCACCGCCCCGGCCACCCAGCGGTGCCAGGCCTTGGCCAAGACCTTTCTAAAGGAGCGGGAACTGGCAGCTATGAGCAATGAAGAGGCGATGCCAGCGTGGCGATGGGGCGGCTGGTGGGGCCTGAGGTGCTGGTGATTTACCGCGAAAAAAAGGTGGGACTTAGCGGGGATTTAGTCAGGGTTTCATCTGATTTAGTTGGGATTTTGGGCGCACTATTTTTCCCGGATTTTTCCCCTCCCCCGGGGATTTTTTTTCCCTGATCATCCTTTCACAATGAAGCCAGCAGGCAAGCAAGCAAGCAAGTCAGGCAGGTAAGCTAGGCAGGCAAGCAAGCAAGCACGCGGGCAAGCAAGCAAGCCAACCAGTCAGCCAGCTAGCAAGCAAGCCAGCCACGCAGGTAAGCCAGAGCAAGCAACCACCTTGCATGAAGGCGAGCAAGCCAGGAAGGCAGCAAGCAAGCACTTGAGGAAGCAAGGAAGTAAGCAAGCGAGCCAGCCAGCCAACCAGCAAGCAAGCGAGCAGGCCAGCCGGCCACCACAAGAGTTTTGAGCCAATCGGAGATAAACCTTCGAGCCACCCCTTCGGAAAAACTACAAACCAACTTTGAAAAAACAAAGCAACCCTGAACCAACTCTAAATAAAGTTCTAAACCAGCTGCAAGCCAAATCCAGCCTTACTTATCCAAACCCTAAACGAACTTTAAAGTGTAAACTAATTTGCACTAAACAGTAAATAACACTTTAAACTTTAAACCAATCTTTGACCAACCTTAAAGAACGTAAAAAAAACAACACCAAAGCTTAGATTATTTTTTAATCAACAATAAATAAATGTTTAACCAGCTCTAAAGAAAACCCTCCGACCCTTAGTAAAGCACCAACAATTTCGAAATACAACCTGAAACCAACAGCAAAGAACCTTCAAATAAACTTTCACAAAACCTTGAACCAACCCTCAATAAACCATAAATCAACCCTAAATTGATCTCTAGCCAGCCCCAAACCAATTCTAAACCGAACCGTAAACCAATTTAAAACATAAAATGAACCGGCACTAAATCGACGCTAAACCAATTTGAATTAGCCGTTAAACCAACTTTAACTAAACCCTAAACAACCTCACATAATTTTCCGAACAACATTCAATAAATTTTGGAACCAAATTTCCATACTCCCTAAACCAGCTCTAATCAAACCTTAAACCAACCCCAAATCAACCCTGAACCAACCTTCCTTAAACCGACTATAAAGAACACCTTAATCGAACCCCAAATAAACCTTAAAGCAAACTAGCTATCTACATGTATATATATATTTTATATATATACATAGATAAATAAATCCTAAACCATCACGAAGGAAACTGCAAACACACCTTAAAGTCAAACCCCAAGCCAACTTTAAATGTTCAACCAACCTCAAAAAAACCCTGAAACGATGCCAAATAAAGGTTTAACCCCTCCCCAAAACAAACCCAAATCCAAACCCAAAAGACAACGAATGAATGTTCGGCAAATTCCGAATTAAACCCTGAACCGATTTAGCCAACCAGCAATAAACCACCGACCCAACCCTGAATCAACCCTAAACCAACCCGAAAGAAAACTTAAACACATCTTAAACCAAACACTAAGCAAGTCAGAAATAACACCCGAACACATGTTAAATGAACAGTACGCCAGCATTAAATAGATCCAGAGTAAACCTTAAGCTAACACTAAGCCCACCCAAACTAAACACTAAATCAGTTTTAACTACAATTTCAAAGCAGCCTTGAACACAACCCCAAACCAAACCTAACAAAACCTTACACCAAACCTAAACCAAGCCTGAACAGATCTTAAAAGATTTTAAAACAACATGCCAAAATACCTTCACCCAAGCCGAAAGAAATCCTACAGCAGCCCTAACACCATGCTATTTGAACCAACCCTAAAACTAAGCGGGCTCCCAGCTGGACCGCAAACTAACCCTAAACAACGTATTGAACCAACACTAAATTCATGCCAAACAAGCGCTACACAAACACAATTTATAAACCAACCTTAAACCGACCTGGAATCACTAACCCAACCCACGATACCTTTAAGCAACCCTAAGCACACACCACAGCAACCCCAACAACACTTCTAGCTGGACGAACCCCAAAACGCCTAAAGTGCTGCAGGTACCGAAGAAGTGGTAGCTGCTAGTAGCTCCAAAAATCTCCGATTCCGGCAGAAATAAGAGTTTCTAGCTCCAAAATGCTTGACTTACCATCAGCTCCTAGCTCCAAAAATGCTGCGATTACCGTAGAAGTGGTTCCAACATGTTGCATATACAGTCGAAATGGCAGCTTCGAGGTTTAACACCCTGCAAATAGCGAGTCGATTGATGCGGCATTGCGGGGGAAAAAAAAGCACGAAGGGGCAACAACAATCCCTGGCGCAAAACGGGGCCTTAGTGGGGAATTCACGGGATTTAGTGGTGATTTAGTGGGATCTAGTGGGGATTTCAAAGGATTCAATGGGATCTAGTGGGGATTTCATGGGATTTAGATGATGTAGCAAACAATAATATGAACATTCATGAATGTATCAATGGGGTTCAAACTACTTGCGGGTGCAGGACTGGGGTGGTTGGGACACAAGGGTATAACTCAGGTTATTTATCCACTTTTAACTCAAACTGCACCCCAAGTATATAATATAATATATCTCTATACATATATATATATATGTGTGTGTGTCAATCCCCTGGTTATGTGCTGTTCTTCATCCTCTCAAATAGATCCCCATGTATTAATTTAGTATAGACTACATTATGGTTACAACAAGTATATGATAATGTGTTAAACAGCAGCCGCAAAAGCAGGGACATATATGATTTCACACGCAAAAAAATGCTAATGTGTACAATAAATGAGTCTGATTTTTGGTTATTGATTGTTCCATCTTCAGCCATCAAGAATGGCATCAACATAGCCAAATTCGACTTTCTTGTTTGGTATTTTGTTACAACCACAAACCAAATGATTTCATCACCTCGACACCGGTTTTTAGTGGCAGAAGGTGGGTTTAACTGAACATAGGGTGCCCCAAAATTCCATGGTTCATCACCATCTTCCCAGTAGTCCCTTCCCCATGTTAAACACCTCCTTAGAAACCATGGTTTAGTAGGGAATTTCCACATTCCATTGGGAACATTTAGGTGGTGTCTAATATAAATGGGGGATGGAATTCAAGATGCCATTTTGTGGGTATCCCCATTCCCGGACGGACCTGAGGGGTGATGTTTTCAGAGGAAAACACGCGTCATCCCCTCATCGATGTCGGATCATGGAAGGAAAACCTCCGTAAGGAAGGAGAATTTGTCATGGTGCATTGAAACATAGGGGAATCATGATATAATCCGGAAAATGTATTACATATATATATATATATACATATACCAGAAATGATATATACACGGTATAATTATATATATATATATCTATATATATATACAACGTATATGATTATTGTATTTTTATACATATTTACTAGCTGTATATTTATATATACTGTAGAATATATAATATATATATATTACAGTTATATATATATACATTGTGGATTGACTATCTTTGCACCCTTTGGTTTCTTTGCCCGAGCCCTTTTTTGGATTTTCGAGGTCTTTGAGCCGGAGCCTCTGTCGAAGGACTACCCCGTCCGGTCTTCCCAGTGATGGGCAAATTAGGTGGGGATGGGTCAAGTTACCCATGAAATTTTCCCATATGACTGGGGGAATATAACCACCTATATACCCATCCATAAATACCAGCTATTTCAGGGTACCATCCTATTAGTACCAGGGTTTTGACCCATCGCCAGGTATTGATAGGGGGGTTAAGCAGCAAAAATTGTGATTAATACCATGTTAGTACTGAAAACCTTTGTTTTGGGGGAGCCCACCTTTTAAGAAATTTCCAATATATAGCCAATTACAAGGGTAATGCGGTAAACCCATTGTCACAAGCCCAAACACTCGTCAGATCCTCACTTGGTCCAATCCATCTGACATCCAAAGGATCCTTCGCGATGGGTATTGGACGAGGTCTCCAGACATCAAGTGAAGCTGCCTGAACGGCCTGGCATCACTTGAGTCTGGGTGTGTATGACTGACAACTCATGGAGTAGGTACTGTGGCACCAGATTCAGACCATATTCCTTCCATCATTTACGACGGAGCTCTGGAGCCTATGAAGCTCACAACGAAGATGGCACCTGTTGAAAGCAGTGCGAGTGAGCTTCACTTCAATTACCCAGAACCTTTCGATGATGGATTGGCGTCGAAAGCAGTAATCAAAACTACATGGGGAACCAAAAAGACCACATTGCGGGTCATCACCGGAAATGCAGACACACACTCATTCTGCCTTGCTCGTACATTGGAAGGACGGATGCTCAAACAGTTGAAGAAGAGTCCTTCCTATTTCTGTTTCTGGAGCAGTGACATGGACATTGCGATCATGCATGTGCTTTGGGAGTTTGGGAGCATGAAATTCCGAGCTTTGTGGTGATGTGTAAGTTCAATGGGACTCCCGTTGTGACCAACAAAGAGACCACTTCAAAAGTTCTTGCATGCAAAACGGTTGCTGATGCTGCATTGTATCTGCGCTTGAACAATGAGTACTTCTCACAAGTGGTCACTGGCAGCACTCATGTACTTGCAGCAAAAACAGTGCTGAACGACTTTCTGAAAGATCCTGCGCAATTTACTCTTGCAGTACAAACCGCAATAGTGTCTGAAAATCGGATTAACAAAACAAAACGTGAGTTGATCATTATTTTCACACAAACTCATGTTAATTACAATATAGTTGGTGAACTATTACCAAGTATCCAATATCCCCGGTAACATTATGAAATATCACCATCAAACGTTTGAAAAAAAACAAGACAGAAGATGTTGCGCTATCTTTGGGGCAAAACTCCGAGCCGGACCAGTGGGAAGTTGTTACATGATCAGCATCACTTCCGTTCTCCGATATAGAATCGTACCCTCTGGTAATTTAACATAACTATTGAAAATGACCAATTTATACTTGAATTACCTATTAGAAATGGTGATTTTCCATAGCTATGTTAGTTTACCGGAGTGTAATGGCTATGAGTCAAAACACCACCCGGATGGTATCCTAGAATGGCTGGTTAATGGATGATGTCCCCACATATGATAGTAATAGTTTTTGACCCATCCCTAAATGAAAAACTTGATTTATTGTGTGCATACTTAAAGGATCTTAAAGGCACTTTATCTAAGACTGTTTGAACAGATACCCTTGAGAAGGGCGGTGTGTAGGGTTTGTTGAATGTTTGACAAGACAATTTGTTGGATGCATTTGATCTAGGGTTATCGGGAAATGAATATCTGTGTTCCAACCACCCGAAAAACAGGAGCTTTAGTGGAATTCAACCGATTGTCATCGATTGTCGATTCCACATCCATCCACCTAAACTGAATGACTTGGTTCTGTCCTCCTTGATTGGTTCTATTCCGCATATCCTGTTGGCTATTGATGCCAGTCTGCGTTTTTTTCCAAAGGACCATGGGTCAAATTTCACAGAATTAACAATCAAGTCCGCGTTGGATTCCAAAGATTTTGGGATGGATCAAACGCCCCCTGGAAACCCTTCGATTACCATTGACGCAATTCATTTTGGGGGGCCGCTATGCTGGCATTTTGATATTTAGGAGGAAGGGGTTCTGATTACAACTGACCCATGAACAGAGGGGATGTTTCCCAGTTACATCCATTAAGTATATTGGATCATAAGGAGGATATCATGATATTGGCATATGAATTGCCCATTCTCCTCCCCTTTGTTGGAGACCAATTACAATGTGCATCAAGTTAGTTTTGTTGTTTATAATCCTATGCAACTATATAGATATTCAGCATAAACCTTAGTTGTATTAGCTATTCTTAATTAGTTTCAGCATAAATCAGTTCTAAATCCCTTTTTCCTCCTGGATTAAACCCCTTCTTTTCCATCATTTTCCCCTGATTTTGACGGTAAAAAAAACGTGGGGAGCCCCCGGCTGGGAGCTGACTCGGCCAGCGGCTCAGTCTCGTCCCACCTTGGCGGAAGAGATGAAGCTGACAGAGGACGACGAATCTGAGCCGTTTCACATGGTGAAACCGACCTATTGATAATAAGAGAATAATGGAATAGTATGGCATATTTCATATTACCCTATTATTATCCTACTAAGGTCATGATACTACTCATTATCATATTATAAACCTATCGATAGTAGGGACTAAGATCACGGGGTAATAATGGAATAGTATGGCATAGTCCATTGGAAAACTACCCGGCCCTCAAATGTCATAATGGGAGAATAATAGTGGTGCTACCATTTGGGAATGGTTTATATGACCCATTTATGGCGGTGTAGGGGATGCTTACTTATTGGGTTTGCCACATTCTATAGCCTGTAACTAGAGGGTTTCTTAAAAATGGGGGGATCCCAAAATCATGGGTTTCAATATGTTTCAATACCACAATGTCTCATTTGGATGACTATTGGGGGTAACCGGGTAACCCCGTTTTATCTGCACCCATTGGGAATATCAAATTATGATACAACTGAACAATGATGGTTGGTTGTAAGGTCGTTGTTTTAATTGCCATTGAATGGAATAATGATGGTATAAGGATGGGGCAAGGACTGCAAAGATGATGTCATTTGGGACGTAGCCATCACCAAAACCCTGGTTGGGCTATGTATATACCCTCTGGTTATTTAACATAGCCATGGAAAATCACCATTTTTAATAAGTAAACCATCTATAAATGGGCCATTTTCCATGGCGATGTTAAATAACCAGAGGGTAAATTTATCCATCAGATCTGAGCTTTGACCCGCAGAATTTAGGGAATATGATTTGATATGACTGATAGGTGATGGTTGGGTCATGAAAATCGGGAGTTATACTACTCGGTTATTGGGGTGTAAAAAAACTAACCCAAATTAATGGGAAACCTATCAACCATCTAGTATTTCATGAGATGGGATAATTTTCTCAGGTTTCAGATATTTGTTTGTTTTTCAATCATACTTGGGATGATTGGTTGAGATGACGAGCATATTTTTGGGATTGGTTAAACTCACCAGTGGAATTTCTGGGGCCCCAGTCCGGTGGTGAGTTCAATGTTTTTTTGGTAGATAGAACATGATAGAACCATAGTCTACAATCGATGATTTATAGATGGGAAAATCTTAATTATAGCTAACTATAGGGTTTGACTTAATGTATATATATGCCATTAAAAAAAGTCTATAGTTAATGGAAAAATTGTCCTTTGAACGTGTTTACTTTGTTGAAATATGGTATAATCGGATCTAAAACCAACCGTTTGATGCGTGTAGAACCCGGATAATCGAACGAACATGGGAACTTTAATGGATATTTTTTTGGGGGGGATCGGACTGATAGGACAACTAGGCAACAAATGGCAACAATCATGGGGATTTCACGTACAATAAATGGCCATATAATGGTCGTATATTGGGGATATTAACCAACTTTAACTGATGTGGGTCTGAGAACGTGAATTCTTCACAATTGCCAGTGAATTATGTGACAATATGGGAACATCATGATTCACCTCTGGGACATGGCGAAAATCATGATTGACCACGAATTTTGGGACAAACCCGAAGCGGAGAACCTCCGATTCCCTGATTCACCCGTTGCAAGCTGAGTCCGTGATGAAAAAAACCCGGTGATGGTCATCTGCCTATATTTCAGTGGCCAAAAATATCAGTTTTCTTCGAAAAAATGGAGTATTTTACCATGAAACCATGGCCATCTTCGGTTCCAAATCATGGATTTGGGGGTGTTTTTTTTCAGCAGTGTTGAAACTCGACCAACCAATGGATCACCACCTTCATGCATCACGTTATGGATCCACGTTATGGGGTTTCGAAGCCGGCTTGGTTGTTGATTCATGTCAATGTGTTTCGAATTCATGTGGGGGTTTCCATAAATGGTCGTACCCCTTTATCGCTGGATTGTTTATTTCAGGGAAAATCCAATCTATAAATGCATGATTAAGGGAAACCCCCATGACTTAGGAAACCTCCACGTGTTTTTTTAACAAACAATAAACCATCCCAGTAACCAAACATTTAGGGCCAGCAAATGGACCCCCAACCATCGGGGTCTACTCAGTACTGAACTAAACCCCAATTCGAAGGTTCAGGGTTCGTCTGTGCACGTCAAAAGTGGGTCGTCTGTGCACGTCAGACGGTTGGTCGTCTGTGCACGTTTTTGTTGTGTGTTTTTGTCATTGTATCTCTGTAACATGATTCTTCTTCTAGCTTTTTTTAAAACATCATCGCACAACTCATCAAGTTATGGTTTTTTTCCTCACATCTCTCTGTGGGGCTTTTGTTTTTAGGTTTGTATTCCTTGCCTTCTCCTCCTTCTCCTCCTGAGTTGCTTCTTTCTCTCTCAACTTCACTCAAGTTGTCTCACACAATGCACACATTTCATCTCACACAACTCCTCTCATCTCACAAGTCACACAACTCATCTCACACAACTCATCTCACTCAACTCATCTCACACAACTCAACTCTCTCAAGAGCTGCTTTCGTGTGGCATTTGGTGGAGCTGCTTCGTGTTCTCTCGCTGAACTTCACCCAAGTTCTTTCACACAACTCATCTCACAACTCACACAACTCATCTCACACTACTCCACTCATCTCACAACTCACACAACTCATCTCACGTATTTCCGCTCATCTCACAACTAACACAACTCATTTCACACAACTCCTCTCATCTCATAAGTCACACAACTTATCTGACACAACTCATCTCTCACAACTCATCTCACACAACTCAACTCACTCAAGAGCTGCTTTCGTGTGGCATTTGGTGAACATGAACCTTATTAACTCACCCCACCCCACCGGTAACTGATCATGAAAGAGCTGTGCCTGTCTCTGCTCTACGGGAAGAAAGATGATGAGGTTGCTGTGCCTGTGTGTGCATAGGAACATGAACGTTATCATCCCCCCCCCCCCCCCCCCCACCCCACCCCACCCCACCCCCCCCACCCACCCCACCCCACCCCAACCAAACCCGATGGCTGGTTCCCAGCATCAATGTGCGCGGATGACCGCTCTTTGTGCGCGGATGACGCGGTTTCTCTGTGCGCGGATGACTCGTTTGCAATGTGCGCAGATGACTCGCTTTCAATGTGCGCAGATGACGCGTTGACCATCAATTGGAAGGGTTGTTTTCATCATGAAGCCTGATTATCCCATAAATATCCCATGATTCACCACAACTCAACTATCCCAAAAGTATCCACAAGTAACCACAAACATCCGATATGTATATATCCCATTGTAAACCCTGTATATCCCTATATCCCATATGTAATCCATAATACTATATATATATATACATATACACATATGTAAAGCTATGTATATATATATAGTTATATATAGTTACATAATATATATATAGTTACATTTACATACATATACAAATATGTATATATATAGTTACATATATATATACACCAACCGTCACTGATCCCAACAAATATAAAACACAGCCCATTGCCATTGCCGCTTAACTTTCCAGGACCTTGAAATGGCCAAGGCCGAATGGTACGACATCGGAGGCTCGCCGACTCCTTTCTGGTTGGTACCGTATGGTACAATCCCATCCCCCAATGTGCTTAACTATGGTTTATTGGTTGGTGGTTTGGTGGCTTAATATAGGGAAACCATAGGGAAACCATAGGGAAACCATAGGGAAATGGATTTAACTGCTTGGTGGTTTGGAACCATGGATCTTTATGACTTTCCATATATTGGGAATGCCATAATCCCAACTGACTTTCATATTTTTCAGAGGGGTAGGTCAACCACCAACCAGTTTAACTGTGGTTTATGGTAGATATACCTATAGTATTCATGAGGGTTATAGTGGTCTTTAAGGTCAAGATCCAGAAAATGGGAGATCTATTGACAAAAACAAGGTTAACAATATGGTTGGCAATATGTCAATGGTGTATATATATATATATATCAATAAACCAATATTAATATGATGGGTATATCATTGATTCAATGGGAAATTCAGGATCCTATGGAGGTATGTTAGTACTATATTTCTGGCCATATTTTGCGGGGACATTCCCTGAAATTTTTGGCCTTGTATTTGGCCTTGTATATGGCCTTATATATGGTAGGTACCTCCAATTTAGGCTCCTGAAATGGCCATTGACCCATTCATATTTTCATTAAACAGCCCCTAAATGGTTCCAATGGAATGTGGAAATTTCCTACAAAAAACAAGGTGGGCCAGAGAACCCAAAAGCAAGACGGCGCACAGCACGCCTTTTCTTGAAAATCTTGGGGTGTGGCCAGCTGTGCTCTGCACGAAATCGACGTAAGATCTTTACTTAAACATCGTGCGCACTGATGGTATCAGGGGCCACGATTCACCACAGCATGCTGTGTCAGCTACGCCTACAGTCTTCTAGTCGCTATTTCTGTTAATGTAATTAACTCTATCCCATCTGTCTAGTCGCTATCTATTTCTGCGTTCTCGTTTAGTTTGCTTCGCCGCAGAGGGAGCGAGCACGAAGCGTGGACGGACAGAACGAAATGAAAATTAAACGACAGAGGGAGCTGACCAAAAGAGCATGAAAACGAAGATATATATGAAGGTGACAGATGGCAAATGATCATGAAAAATGAGACATGATAAAAGATGGGTAAAGACTTCTCTGTACAAAAGCTTCTTTGCATAAAAGCTTCTGCAAGTAAAAGCTTCTGTGGGCAAGAACTTCTCTGTGTAAAGGTTTTTGGTGTAAAAGCTCTTGTGTGTAAAATCTTCTGTGTAAAACGCGCTCTGTGTGTAAAAGTTTCTGTTTGCGAAAGTTTCTTTGCGTACCAGCTTCTGTCTGTAAAAGCTCCTCTGTGTTAAGGTTTTGTTTGTGTAAAGCTTCTGTGTGCAAAAGCTTCTCTGTGTAAAAGACTTCTCTGTGTCAAAGCCTCTGAGTGTACAAGCTTCTCTGTGTAAAAGTTCCTCTGTGTAAAAGCTCCTCTGTGAAAAAGCCGCTCTGTGTAAAAGGCTTCTGTGTGTAAAAGCCTCTGTGTGTGCAAGCTTCTCTGTGTCAAGACTTCTTTGTGTAAAGATTTCTCTGTGTAAAACTACTCTGTGTAAACGCTTCCGTGTAAACTCTTTCCTGTGTAAACGCCTCCGTGTGTAAAGACTTCTCTGTGTAAACCCGTCTGTGTGTAAAAGCTCCTTTGTTTAAAGGTTTTTTTGTGTTAAAAGCTTCTGTGTGTAAAACCTTCTGTGTGTAAAAGTTTCTGTGTGTAAAAGCTTCTGTGTGTAAAGGTTTCTGTGTGTAAAAGCTTCTGTGTATTAAAAAAACCTTATGTAAAAGCTTCTGTGTAAAAAAGCCCCCTGTGTGTACAAGCTTCGCTGCGTAAAAGCTGCTCTGTGTAAAAAATCTGTGCGCCGTAAAGTTGTCTGTTTGTAAAACCTCCTGTGTGTGTGTGTGAAAGCGTCTGTGTGTACAAGATTCTGTGTGCAAAAGCTCCTCTGTGCAAAGACTTCTCTGTGTACAAAGCTTCTGTGTGTGAAAGTTTCTGTGTGTAAAAGCTTTCCTGTGTAAAAGTTTTCTTGTGCAAAAGCTCCTGTGTGAAAAACTTCTCTGTGTAAAGGCTTTTTTGTGTAAAAGCTTCTGTGTGTACAAGCTGCTCTGTGTTAAAGTTTCTGTGCGCCGAAAGAACGTCTATCTGTAACACCTTCTGCGTGTAAATCTCGTTTGTGTAAGGACTTCTCTCGTAAAAGCTCCTCTGTGTCAAGACTTCTTTGTGCGAAAGGCTTCTCTCTGTAAAAGCCTTTGTGTGTACAGGCTTCTCTGTCTCAAGACTTCTCTGTGTAAAGACTTCTGTGTGTAAAAGCTACTCTGTGCAAAAAAGCTTCTGTGCGTAAAGGCTTCTGTGTCAAGACTCCTCTGTGTCTCTGTAAACGCGTCTGTGTGTCAAAGTTTCTGTGTAAAGGCTTTTTTTGTGTAAAAGCTTCTCTGTGCATGTCCCATTTTTCAGCCTTTGCAAACCGTTTGACCGGTCTTGGGACCATTTGACCAGTCTTGGGTCCACAATTTTTCAGGCCAATCGCAATGATGGCATTTGTCCTGAAAAAACCCGTGCCAACAGCTCTGCCGCAAACTATTTTCAAGGTTTCCTATCCGTCCAGCATGTTGTCTCGCTCCCTCCAGCGAAGCTCTCCGCAAGCTATTTCCACGGTTTTGTCCCGTCCAGCATGCTGTCTCGCTCCCTCCCAGCAAGGCTCTCCGCAAGCTATTTCCACGGTTTCCTCTCCGTCCAGCACGCTGTCTCGCTCCCTTCCAGCGAAGCTCTCCGCTAGCTATTTCCACGGTTTCCTGTCCATCCAGCATGCTGTCTCCCTCCCTCCCAGCGACGCTCTCCGCAACCTATTTGCACGGTTTCCTCTCCGTCCAGCACGCTGTCTCGCTCCCGCCCAGCGAAGCTCTCCGCAAGCTATTTGCACGGTTTCCTCTCCGTCCAGCATGCTATCTCGCTTCCTCCCGGCGAAGCTCTCCGCAACCTATTTGCACGGTTTCCTCTCCGTCCAGCATGCTGTCTCGCTCCCTCCCAGCGAAGCTCTCCTTAACCTATTTCCACGGTTTCCTCTCCGTCCAGGATGCTGTCTCGCTCCCTCCCAGCAAAGCTTTCCGCAAACTATTTGCACGGTTTTCTCTCCGTCCAGCATGCTGTCTCGCTCCCTCCCAGCTCAGCAAGCTATTTCCACGGTTTCCTATCCGTCCAGCATGTTATCTCGCTCCCTCCCAGCGAAACTCTCCGCAAGCTATTTTCACACTTTCCTCCGTGCAGCATGCTGTCTCCCTCTCTCCCAGTGAAGCTCTCCGCAACCTATTTGCACGGTTTCTTCTCCGTCCAACATGCTGTCTCGCTCCCTCCCAGCGGACTTTCCCCAAGCTATTTCCACGGTTTTCTCTCCGTCCAGCATGCTGTCTCGCTCCCTCCCAGTGGAGCTCTCCGCAAGCTATTTTCACGGTTTCCTCTCCGTCCAGCATGCTGTCTCGCTCCCTCCCAGCGAAGCTCTCCGCAAGCTATTTGGACGGTTTCCTCTCCGTCCAGCATGCTATCTCGCTTCCTCCCAGCGAAGCTCTCCGAAACTATTTCCACGGTTTCCCATCCGTCCAGTTGTCTCGTTCCCTTCCAGCGAAGCTCCCCGCAAGATATTTGCACGGTTTCCTCTCCGTCCAGCATGCTGTCTCATCCTCTCGCGCTTCCTCCCAGCAAAGCTCTCCGCAAGCTATTTCCACAGTTTTCGTCTCCGTGCAGCATGCTGTCTTGCTCCCTCCCAGCGAAGTTTCCTCAAGCTATTTCCACGGCATCATCCCGTCCAGCATGCTGTCTCGCTCCCTTCAAGCGCAACTTTCCGCAAGCTATTTGCACGCTTTCTTCTCCGTCCAGCATGCTGTCTCGCTCCCTCCCACCGAAGTTTCCCCAAGCTATTTCCACGGTTTTGCCCCGTCCAGCATGCTGTCGCGCTTCCTCCCAGCATAGCTTTCCGTCCACCATGCTGTCTCGCTCCCATCCAGCGCAGTTTCCCCAAGCTATTTTCCACGGTTTTGTCCCGTCCAGCATGCTGTCTCGCTCCCTCCCCGCGCAGTTTCCCGAAGCTATTTCCACGGTTTTGTCCCGTCCAGCATCCGGTCTCGCTCCCAGCGAAGTTTCCCCAAGCTATTTTCCACGGTTTTGTCCCGTCCAGCATGCTGTCTCGCTCCGTCCCAGCGAAGTTTCCCCAAGCTATTTCCACGGCTTCATCCCGTCCAGAATCCAGTCTCGCTCCTTCCCAGCGAAGTTTCCCCAAGCTATTTCCACGGCTTCATCCCGTCCAGCATCCGGTCTCGATCCCTCCCAGCGAAGTTTCCCCAAGCTATTTCCACGGCTTCATCCCGTCGAGCATCCGGTCTCGCTCCCTCCCAGCGAAGTTTCCCCAAGCTATTTCCACGGCTTCATCCCGTCTAGCATCCGGTCTCGCTCCTTCCCAGCGAAGTTTCCCCAAGCTATTTCCACGGCTTCATCCCGTCCAGCATCCGGTCTCGTTCCCTCCCAGCGAAGTTTCCCCAAGCTATTTCCACGGCTTCATCCCGTCCAGCATCCGGTCTCGCTCCCTCCCAGCGAAGTTTCCCCAAGCGATTTCCACGGCTTCATCCCGTCGAGCATCCGGTCTCGCTCCCTCCCAGCGAAGTTTCCCCAAGCTATTTGCACGGCTTCATCCCGTCCAGCATCCGGTCTCGCTCCTTCCCAGCGAAGTTTCCTTAAGCTATTTCCACGGCTTCATCCCGTCCAGCATCCGGTCTCGTTCCCTCCCAGCGAAGTTTTTTCCCCACCTTTTCCACGGCTTCATCC